TTGTTTTCCCTTTGAATTCCATCTCCATTAAATTTGAATCAAGCAGGAATTTCGAATCAATTACACATTTCTCATTCATAGAAAGGTGAATTTAATTTTTCAAACTAACTCATTGAATATTTTGCTTATTTAGGATAAATGTTGATTTTTGAATGGATTTGCTTAAATGTTTGGGTTTGTGCATTTTTTCCGAATTCTTTGTTATATTTTGTTAGATATATATGGGTTTTGTAAACGGGTTGTTCATAACCCTACAATTTTATGCGAATTTATGTTTTGTTTGGGTTTTTTGTTAGGTTATATGTTGGGGTTTAGGGTTTAAGAAGTAGATGGGGATGTTGCAAGTGATATTGAAAGTGATACTAGTACGATAGAAAATGACACTGAGATGTATATAGAAGGTGTAGGTGGGAATGACACTGATTACTATGACAATGAAGACCACGAGAATCTGTTTAGTTTAGATGATGAACATGAAGAAGGTACTAGGAGAAGAGGAATAAATCCTACTTACAACCCACATGCATAAAGTTTTCAATTTTGTTTGGGGATGTTGTTTATAGATGGCAAACAATTCAAAGATGACATCCGTAAATATTCAAGATGCAATAGAAAAGAGTTTAGAGCTATACATTGTGAAATTAATAGGATTAGTTTCAAATGCATTGCATCTAAAAATTGTCCATGGAGAATCTATGTGAGTACAAATAAGATGGCAAGTAGTCTACAAGTGAAGACTTTCATAAATGAACACAATTGCCTTGTTAGTTTTACTAACATGATGGATACTACTAAGATTATTGCATAACATTTTGAGGATACTATTAAAGATCACCGAAAAATGAAGCTTAAAGAGATAAAAAAAGGTGCAATTTGAGATGCATGTAAATGTTAAGCTAAGTAAATGTCAAATGGCAAAGAATTTGGTCACATCAAAGTTAGCTGGAAATTGCAAGGAAGAATTTTCTCAGTTGTGGGATTACGCAAACAAGTTAAAGGGAAAAAAAATCTTGGGAGTACAATAAAGATGAAGTAAATAGGGTGTTAGATAATTCTCCACCTCATTTTAAAAGATTTTATGTATGTTTTTATGCTATGAATAGAGGTTGGAAAAAAGGGTGTAGGCATATCATCGGTCTAGATGGTTGTTTCCTTAAGGACACATTCAAAGGTATATTTTTGTCTGTTGTTGGAAGATATGGAAATGATCAAATATACTCTACTACATGGGCTGTTGTGGAGGGTGAAAAATAGATTCTTGCTTGTTTTCTAAGTCTAGTCACAACAAACGTAGGATTGGATGATGAATTTGGCTACACCATCATTAGTGACCAACACAAGGTAAAAACTTATTTACATTTAATATACATGCTGCTGATTTTTTTTTTGTATCACAATAATTTGTGCTAAACGTTTTTGACAAAGTATAGAGGTTGCTATAAATGATATCCTACCATAAGTAGAAGATAGAAATTGTGATCGACACGTGTTTGCGAATTGGTCTGGAAGGAAGAGAACAAAAGCATATCAATTTGCCTTTTGACAAATTGTTAAGTCCATGACCGAGAAGAAATGTGTGGAGAACAAAGTTACACTATTGATGCTGAAAGTGCTAGTGAAAAAAGAGAAAATGTGGACCAAGGCTTTTCAAAAACTGCATTCTATGTCGGATATAGTCTACAATAATTTGTGTGAGACTTTTAACTTGAGCATTGTTGAGTCAAGGTAAAAGATCATTATTACAATGCTTAAGGAGATTAGAGTGAAGATTATGACAAGAATAGTTGAGAAGATGGGATTTTTAAGTACATGAAAGTACAACTATGGGCACTAATCAATAAAATATTTGACAACATGAAGAATGACAACATTGAATGGAGAATGATTTGAAATAAAGAAAATGGATGTGAGGTTAAGAAAGGAAGGGAACAATACATTGTGAACTTGAATAAAAGAATGTGTACCTATAGAAGGTGGTAACTATGTAGGATTTTTTATCCTCATGCTTGTTGTGCAATATAGAAAACTGGTGGGGACCCAGATGAGTATTTTCATCCTTGTTATCACAAGGACACAGTAAATCATATAAATATGTTTTGCAACCTATTAATAGGCCTCAAGATTGGAAGAAATCTGGAATTGACCCTATTCTTCCACCGGCTGATAGAGATATACCTGGAAAACCTAAGAAAAGTAGAAGGAAGTCAAAAGATGAACAAAAAAAAGTCAAGCATGGACATCTTAGTAGGACTTGTAGAAATTTTGGTGTACAATGTCATGATAAAAAATTATGTACTCAGCTTAAAACTATAAACCATGTAAACTTCATCTATGTGTTTGATTTTGAGTTAAAATATTTCGATTTTTATGTTCCATTTATATGTTTCGATATTTGATACAGGAGAGCAATAAAGATGGTAATTATTTGAGAAGATCAACAAGTACAATGATATCAAACTCTACACATGTATCAAGGAAAGAAAAGAAAAAAAGAAGGTCAATATTGTTCTTGATAGATCAACAAGAAATAGAAGATACCAAAGGATAGACCTCTACAGTAATTTGAGGACTGGGGAGCAGACTTTCTATGTAAGAATAAATCTCTACACAATTTTTTGGCATGAATAATTTATGAATGTTTTAATATTGTTATTTTCTAACAGTCTGGAACAAGTGCACCAAAGAAGAGAAAAAGAGTTGAAGAACCTATGGGCACTCGAGAATCAGTTACACCAAAAAAGAATAAGAACCTATTAATTGTGGATTGTAGTATTTCTTTTTTACTGTGTTGTTGCTTTTTATGCCTAAACCCCAATATTTGACTAACTTGATATGGGATACTTTTTTAGTTAAAGATAGTTTTTGAGTAGCATGGTAAGAAAAGGATAAAAATATTGTCAATCATTTTGTGCACGAAACAAGTTATTTATGGATGAACTTATACTATCAATCATTTTGGATATGACAAACACTGTCAATTATTTTGTGCATAAAACATATTATTTATGGATGAACTTATTAAGTATGTACAATTCTCATATCAGATAATGTAGACAAATAACTAAACTTAATAATTCATTCTAAATAAGTAATTGTCAAACACTTAATCTTTCACATAAACACTTAATAACAAAATTTGAACACTAAATAATAGACATATATAAACACATTTCAACCTATTAATTATGCCTAAGTACTAAACTGCTATTACAAGTACTATTATCACAAAGATATATATGACACACACCATAGAGCAAATGAACATTATCTTATAAAAATCTTTTTGTTTCTTCAATGCTTTAGATTTTCCTTTCAAGCTTTTAATTTTTCGTTTTAATTCATTATCATTGACTTCGCTTTGCACACTTTCATTATCTTTCACTTCGCTTTGCACACTTTCACTCTCTTCCAATGACATACTGTTGATTTGACCAGTAGAAGTACCTCCACAACTTCTAATTTATCTTCTAAGTCTTGTATTCTCATTCGTTAAATTTCGATCACTATCACGTAATTGTCATAGTAAATGATTTGTTCGTTCATGCATGTTGTTATCATACCATTCAAAATACCTACAACCATGCTACAATAAGAGTAAAAACAAATTTTATTATCAATTGGCATATACATTTCTTATTAGAAGTCAACTAACATGATAAAGTATCAAAATTTCTTACCGGAAAATATGAGCAACCATAATACCTTATTATGGGGTTTAAATCACTCTATGAAGTTTCTCTAAGAGCCAATTTATTGTAATAAAACTTTTTGTGTTATCCACCATACACGAAATCTCGTCGAGAAGAACTAAAGATGACTAGAGAATCGAACCTGTCCATTAGAGATTTTCTACCAACCTAAAAACATACAAACAATATTATTTATTAAAATAAATCAATTTTCTTATCCTACATACATCAAAATGTGGATTTCAACAGGCTATCAACAATGTTCCTTATTAGAAACCTAAATAAAAACAAAAAAATACTTTAACAGAATAACCTTAACGAATTCATTTCGAACTAAGCTATACAATAATGTTCAAGGGTTATGGAGAACCCATTCATAAAATCTATAAAACTCATCCGAAACTCGCACAAATCCAAACATTGTAGAAAACTTATTTGAAAGCTCATTCGAAAATTAGGAAAGCAATGGGGAAGATTCGATTCAAAAAAAATAAATTCACCTTCGAAATAAATGATATTGTGGGAATAATTGATTGGAAAATAAGAAAACTCACATTCGTAATCGATTGGAAGTTGCTGCTTCAATGAATTTGAAGAAATTGAGAGGGAAAATGAAACCTTAAACCTTAATATTTTGAGAATTAACGGGTATGGAGAAATGAGATTATGAAAAGATTTTCCTTTTAATAGTTACATTCTACACATGTCATCATCTGATTGGTTGCAAATCATTAAATATTAATAATAATATTTTTTTTATAAAATTTCTTATGTGACATTGTCATGTCATCGTGTACTATGAGTTGGACAAGCCACATCAACATTCCTGTCTACGTGTACGTGTTTGGTCAGCATCAGACGTTGATCGTTATTTAACTAATAATTTTCATCCACCAAAGATGTTTTTTGACACAAAATTAAACGTTGAATGATCAAATATATCAATAAAACAAAAATAATATATTTGATAACACTGTTAAACATTAAGATTATTTTGTTGCATTATGAATTTTAAATATTAACATAAGCCAATCATCTACGCTGGAAGAGAATTATTGAAGCCATTTGTATTGCGGGGATAAGAGAATTCACTCCCTCTCATTTGTCTCCTCATAAATTGACCCGATAAAATTACGACCTGCCCAATAACGATATTTTCACCTACTGAAACAAAAATCTCATCAAAATCTCAAATCACTCGGGTCGGGCCCACTTCAGTTTGCATCGAACTTGACCTTCGTCTTTCTTACTAAAATATATATAGCTCTTTTAATCTGTTTCTCTTATTTTACTCCCATTTTCTTTAAAAAAAAAATAAAAATTTATTAGAATTTATAATATTTGTCGACCAATAATTATCATCGCCAAATCGTCATCTTTAGAGTCGTCTTTGAAGAAGAAGTGGAGAAAGAGAAAGAAGAAGATAATTGAAGGGAGTCTTAAATCGACTTGAGGTTGTGGGGATTGGGATTCGATTTGTTTAATGCAAATTTTGTATTAGTGTTTTCTGATTCAGCTCTGATATGAATCTGCTGAAACCCTAGGTTTGTATCAAACCTGTGAAATAAGTTTATCTTACTTGTATATGTATATATATTTATGAAATTTTAGTTAGTTGTTTTAGATTGATGAACTTTGATTGTGTTTTTACTATTAGATTAGTTGTTCTGTAGTGGAAATGTGGAAGCTTTGCAGAGGTTTTTTTTTAATGCGATGTTATTTTATGGTTGATAGTTAGAATTTGCTGTAATAGCTACAATGATAGTTAGAATTTGCTGTGATAGCTACAATTTAGGCTATTTTTAAATTGTTGTTTAAAATCTGAAAAGAGGAACTAGTTGTTTGTAGTGATTCATAAAATTAATTTTTGTAACGATTGGTGTTAAATTTCCATGTTTTTTATTGGAACTTATTCTTCTATAGCATCTAATAGTTCTGGTTTCTCTAGAAATGTATTTTTTGCTTATTTGTTTTAATTCTTTGAGGGGAAAAAGGGGTTCTGTTTGTAAAGAAAATTAATTCAATTCTTTATTGGGATTTGTACAGGTTAAAACTACCCTACTACCAACTACCTTCCATGCATTGTGATTATTGTTTAGATTTTGACTGCATCTACTAGTTTCGTGCCATACAAAATTTGCTAGTCTTTAGGTTTCAATTTGCCATCTGGGGAAAGTCACTTTTCTCATAGGCTTTTCTAACTAGCCTCTGCTCATTCTTAGTTCACTGACAGAGTACTTGGTGTGATATGCAAGGTCTTCTCTGATATTAACTGGGGTTTGGGTTTAAATTGTTTCTACATACATGAAAACGGACTTGGTAAGCCTATACCTTGATGAAGTCAGTGAACTTGTATACTGCTGCATGTTAAAGAAAAAATATGCTACCTGATTGGAAGAAGCTTCACAATAGATTGACAGTTGAATCTTCAGTTGAATGTGTGCTTTTGTTAATTGGAACATATAGGAGTAAAGAGGGAGGCTGGTAATGATATGCTGTGAAAAGAAGTCATGGAGCATCCCCTAGAGAAACGATTTCCAGTCAATGCGAATGATTATAAGTTATATGAAGAAGTTGGAGAAGGTGTCAGCGCCACTGTGTACAGGGCTTTATGCGTTCCAATTAATGAGATTGTTGCAATCAAGGTTCTTGATTTGGAAAGGTGCAATAATGACCTGGTAAGTACGGTATTTCATAATCTATTGCTTGGGGATTTTATTTACTTATGCATTTCTCTTGCAAGTCCCTGCAACTCTATGGCATAAAGAGTTAACATCAACATAAGATTTCTGCTCTTGAATTATGCAGGATGGCATTCGAAGAGAGGTCCAGACCATGAGTTTGATTGATCACCCAAATTTATTACGGGCACATTGTTCATTTGCTAGCGGTCACAACCTTTGGGTTGTGATGCCATACATGGCTGGGGGATCCTGCCTGCATATAATGAAATCTTCTTATCCTGAAGGTTTTGAAGAGCCTTTCATTGCTACTTTGTTGCGTGAAGTTCTTAAAGCTCTTGTTTATCTTCATGCTCATGGAGACATTCACAGAGATGTGAAGGTTTCTAATTGCCCCTTTTTATTTTTATGTCACGTGTTTTTCTTGTTTACTTATGCAAATATTTTGTTTTCTGACACCAAGCCATTTAGGTTTGGACTGTCTTCAGTAAAGACACAGCTTAAGCTATATTTTTTCAACTATCAAGATGAATAACTTGTGGTTCTTATAATGTAATTGAGAATGTATGAGAACTGCAGGAAAACTTGCATCTTTATTCTGTAGTGAAACCTTATGCTACTGTTAGCATACTATTGAACCCCTTAGGCCCTTTTAGATGGGTGGTGAGGTTAGCCCCAATGAGATTGTATCATGTAGCATTGAGGTTAAAATCAATGGTAGTCTATTAGTTCCGTATTACTTCTTGTTGTTTGGTTGACAAGTAGGATGCCAATTATGCTACATGTATCAATAGCTTAGTGCCTGTTATTTTGTCCTTGTTCGATTTCTTCCTACTCAGGCCCAGGAATTTTCTCATTTATTCTTATCTACATTTATAACTTCTATTTGCAGGCTGGGAATATCCTAATTGATTCTAATGGTACTGTCAAGTTGGCAGACTTTGGAGTATCAGCATGCATGTTTGATACTGGAGACAGACAGCGTTCCAGAAATACTTTTGTTGGAACTCCTTGCTGGTATTTGTTTTCCTTTGGCCCTGCAACCGTCTGAGCTTTTACTTATATATGTATTTTTATTGTTGAAATTCAATTTTCAAGAGTTAATGATGACCACAATGTGTCTCCTTGTTTATATATCAGGATGGCTCCAGAAGTTATGCAGCAATTGCATGGTTATGACTTCAAGTGAGTTGATTACCTCTCTGATTGTACCTTTTCATTTGTTATACCCTTTAAATCACTCTGTTTCCTCTTCTTCTTGTTTACAGAGCAGACATCTGGTCTTTTGGAATAACAGCTCTCGAACTGGCTAATGGCCATGCTCCATTTTCCAAGTATCCACCAATGAAAGTAAATATCGTGGTTGCTTGATAGTTATATCTGTTGATTATTGTATGTATTATGTTACCCTTTTTTAGTTCTTAGTATGGTTGTTTAATCCCATTTCTTCTGCAGGTTTTGTTGATGACCTTGCAAAACGCTCCTCCTGGTCTAGACTATGAAAGGGACAAGAAGTTCTCAAAGGTTTGTGCTCTTCAATTGTGTCTTACGGACTGATATCACTTGTAGTATCTGTTATTAACATTGTGAGAGCTTTATAATTCTCTAGTCTTTCAAGGAGTTGGTAGCTGCTTGCTTGGTGAAGGACCCAAAGAAACGTCCAACTTCAGAGAAGCTTCTGAAGCACCATTTTTTTAAGCATGCACGCTCATATGATTATCTAGATCGTGCCATTCTTGATGGACTTCCTCCATTAGGTGAACGTTTTAGGGTGCTAAAGGTCTCTTACTTGCCCATTTTGTTTAACTTATGACATCAGTAGATGAGGAACTAATTTGGAACCCTGATCTGGTCCTCTATGTTTCAGACAAAAGAAGCTGATCTTCTTGTACAGAATAAAGCTCTCTATGAGGACAAGGAGCAATTATCACAGGTCAATAATGGAGCTTTTCACATTCCTCAACAAGAGCTGATAGTGCTAGCTTCTTTCCTTCATGTCTTACTAGTATTTTTGTTTTTTTATACTGAGTGGCCTTTTGCTGTCATTCAACATTCATCTCAGTACTTAAAGATTAAAAGAAATTATTGTAGCTAGCTTTACTTTGACTAATGAATGCCCATGGTATATAAAAACTACCTGATTACATGGTACCATATAGAATAAGAATTCTTTTCACCTTGCAGCAAGAGTATATAAAAGGGATCAGTGCTTGGAATTTCAACCTAGAGGACTTAAAAAGTCAGGCTGCACTTGTAAGTAGTTTCAGTTCCCCATGCAAGTTTTTGTTATTATTTTTCTGAATGTAGTCCTAGAACTGCTCTATAATCATAATCTCATCGTAATTACTTACTGTTTTACCTGCAGATTCAAGATTATGATGATGCGCCAAATGCAGAAGATCAAGAGGGGAGCAGAAAACAAAGGGAACAGCATGATGTCGTTGGATTATCAGTTGAGAAGATGTCTTCTGAAACTACTAATTCCAATGCTGCAAGAAGCCAGGAGGTACCAGTTATAACCCTAAAATGCTTTCTATATAATTAAGTTGTCAGCCTTTCCATTGTTACTTGATGCTTTGGTTAAGCTTGTACTTCAGATTTACATCCCCTTTTACTTGTTTCAGGTTGGGCTTAATGATCTTCATAATTTGGAGAGTTCACTTGCTTCATTTCCTATTAAGCCACTTCAGGCACTCAAGTATGGCATTTTTATTTCCTATCAAAAAAAAAAAAAGTATGGCATTTTTATGCTTGCATGACATTACTATTCAAACAATTAATTATTATAACATAATTAAGATGACATTTTTATTAGCATTTGTCTCATTCAAAGGACCTCCAAGTCGTAATTGTCTCAAATAGAAAGTAGTGTCTTGTGACAAGTGTCATTTAATTTTAAAATTATCTGCTTTTTTCCATATCCTTCTCATATAGTTTAAGAACATGTGTTATCTATTAGACAAAAAACTATTTTTTTTCCTGAAAAAGGGAAGGTTCCAGTGTAATTGTTTTTGGGTAATTAGTTCCTTTTTTGCAACTTTTTAATTGGTGCAGAGGCTGTTTTGACATTGGTGAAGGTGAGGGTGCAAATGGTCCAAATTGGAAAGATGTTATGCCATTGGAAAGTGATACAAAGTCATCAAGACCCATGGACAAAGATGCTGGAAGACACGAGGGTGAGAATTCCGGACAAAGTGGCTCTTTCACACGTCAGGTTATTCCAGAGCTTAAAAAGTACTTGAGCGGTTCACTAATACCTGATAGTGCCTTTTCTCCTAACAAGGTTACTGGAGATGGGGACAGGTAAGCTTTCTTCTAATGAAGTTACCCTGAACCCTAAACTGTTATCACCAAACATACATTGCTTGAAATGACTTTTTATGAAATATAGGATGTTCTTTCCCCATTATCATGCTCTAGATATGATGAGTTTCTGGATTCTGTGGATTGCAAGTCTAGAGGAATCCTAGATGTATAATGTGGTACACTGGGACTTTTCTATTTGGTTATTGTTCCTATATTCTGCAGTTAAAAGGAACAATTGTCTGTCACCATTACCATTAATTTTACTGGCAAAGATTTGTATGCCAATTTATATTCAATTTTATCAACTTTGTTTTGCAGGGACTTCCCACAGCCTAAATTTCCATCTGAACGCAACTACAGTGGTCCATTGTACCGGCAGAGGAGAGAAGCAAATAACATATCTGGTATATCCTGGTTTTATTACCTTTCATTTCTGCTTAGAAGGGATGCTACTTATTTGTACGCAAATGAACTCTGTTTTGTTATCTTTACTTCTTATCAGAGGATGCTTCAGAAGGAGCAGTTGTTCAGCGGGGACGATTTAAGGTGACTTCAGCCGATCTCAGTCCCAAGGTACATTTTCTATGTATTGAAACTTTTACCTCTTTTATGTAAAGAAACTCTGCAGCAGATTGGTTACAATCTTCTACTATTATTATGCTAATAGCCAACAACATGCAAATTTGTACTAATAAACAGTCTGTACTTGAAATATATGGCACAGTTGGCAATTTACTCATATTTGGAGAGTCTATATCTCTCCGTGCCTGTTTTAATTTACCAAGTGAAACTTATCTGTCTTGATAATTATCTACATAACTGACCACCATTTATTAGGCATCATGTAACATACTGACATGCATCTAATGCTATCATCTGTTAATAAATCATACTTCCGCTAAATAGCTATGACTATATTCTAAATGATTCCTCTGCAGACGTTTGTTTCATATCTTTTTTTGTTTCTTTATGTATGGTTGGCTTGTGTTTTTTTTCATATCTTTATGTATGGTTGGCTTGTGTTGCTTATCCATTTTGTGTTCTTACCCTTGTGGATATGTGTAATCTTTTTAAATACAGTTTCTCATGTAAGGCTTCATTGCTTTTGGTCAAGTCTCTCTGATAATATCTGGTTTGCTACCTTTGAAAATTTTGTGGCTTATACCTTTGAACAAGAAGGATGAAACTTAGCAATTTATCATTTAGGCAATGGCTTTGTAACCATTGCCATTATTTTCTCTCATTCAGGGACCTACTAACTGCACGGTTAACCCGGCCACTGGAGGTTCAACCTGTTCAACATCTCCAAACCTTAGAGCAAGTGCAGTTCTCCCATCTCTACAAGGCATTTTGCAACATAACACCATGCAAAGGGTATGTTTTCTTACCTTTCATCTCATGTCATAGAGAGTGCCTATCTTATAAACAAGTTCCTTTGTCAATGATTGTTGACAGGAAGAAATCATTAGACTGATCAAGTATTTGGAGCAAAATTCTAGTAATGCCTCTACACTTTTTTTTTTTGGTGGTTTTGTTTTTTTTTGGGGGGGGAGGAGTGTGTGTTTCTGCTGCTTAATTGTGGAAGAAATTCAGATGTTAAATTCTAAATCTCTTATACAGGTAAGCTTGGGGACTTGTCAGAGGTAGGCACCAATGACCTTTTGCTGGTAATTAATCAACCCTAACTTCTCAGTAACCGTATGACCTTTCTTATGACATGGGTTCCGGGCTACGCCAATGCTGGATTTTTTTCATGCATATTCTCTCATAAAGGCAACCTTTTTTTTTGGTTTAAAAGAGGTCTTGGCCTAGGGATAGGAGAGGAGATTGTGGATTCTGGGATTTGAATCCGAGCGCTGCTAAATACCAGCACTTAAGTGTGATAGAATGAACTGACTGAGTTATGCTCGGGTTCTTGGATATGCATATCATTGTTAAAGATTTTATTTTTCTTAAGTAATAATCAAATTATCTAATTGTATTTCCAGATACCGCCTTCTTCTGCAAGGGAAAGAGAGCTGCAATCTCAGGTTCTTCAGCTGCAGCAGAGGTATGAAATGAAGCACACAGTATGGATTTTCTTTCTTCATGCACATGTTACTTAAAACTTAATTTCTTTTGTCAGTATCGGGAATCTGGTTGAGGAATTGCAGAGACAGAAAATGAAGAACATGCAGGTTTGTGTTTTTTCCTTGAAAGTGTCTGTTTTCGACGTGTCTTGCACATTAAGATATGGGTACGAGACTATGATGATATGATCTCCCAAATAGGAAAAATTTTGGCATACATGTTTCTAACACAGTTGTATTCGACATTCACCCTCGAGTTGGGTTATGTAGGTTTCATGTCCTGAAATTAATGAACTCGAAGGATTTTTCATGAATACCCAATCACTTTTGTTGTTTCAGTCTATGTTACTTGCACGCATGTATGTGTCAAACCCCAGTATCTCAATGTTTTCTAGCTTATCATACCTTCGTTTTCTCGTACTTATTTCCTAATATGTTCTGGATATAAGTGTTACATAATTACTACATAGAAAATGAGGGGTTTTGGTTCACATATTGATTACAATATATATATATGTTAGGATCCACTTACACCCAATCTAAAACTATTTTAGAACCCTATATATATTGGTTAGGATCCACTTACACCCAGTGTAAAATTATTTTAGAACCGTTGGATTGAGGGAGATTAGAGGCTGAGATTAGTTCCTTGTTTTTTTTCTAGTGAATATCTTCTTATTTTCTATTGTTAATCTCAGTCTTTGATTTCCCCTCATCCAACTATCCTAAAAAGGTGTAAAACTTTTTAGTTTTACACTATATAATTAGATCCCAGCCCTACATATATATATATATATATATATATATATATATATATATATCAGTGAGTGGAGATTGAGTTGATTTTCTTGTGTTGCAGTTAGAGAAACAATTAAATAAAGCATTGGCCAACAACAGAAAGTGAAGGGTATGAAACAAACAGACAAATTATAAAGCTTGGTGGTGGTGTTGATCGAACAGCCTCTGATTATATTTTGAGGTCAGTACTTTAGGGTTCATAAAGGTTCCTAAAAGGTGTTTGAGATGAGGTATAGGACTAAGGGTGCCTTGTTTCTTATTTATTGTATTATTTTTTAGTGTACCATATAGTTTAAATATATGGCCGTGTGTTTAAAAGCCCTGTGACGGGACACCCCAATTTTGTGATGCCATAATGCTCGAGTCAGTCATGTAATGTAACTTTGTTGTAATTTATTCACATCCACAGCCACAGCCACAGGATATTGTAATATAATTACAATCTCTTTCCGTTTCTCATGTTCTTCATTTGCTCTTCCGACGCGGAATAAAATTAATAATGTAAGTGGTTGATTTACTTTTGAACTGTAGATGACACGGTTGCATTCTCATAGATTGTACATATTGTCTAATTGTTATCGTCTTTGACGAGGATTTGGTGCGGCTTGGGAGGTTAAGAATGGCATATGACCTTTCGGCACGATCATTGGGTGAATGATGTTGGTTTGCTTAAGGGTATTTGTGTACCTTTGTCGAGTCGCAACGTAAACAATTCGGAAAATGGTAAACGACGCGAGTAATGAGGACTTTGATGGGAATGAAAACGAGATTATCGGTTTTATCAGTCTATAGTGTGTTATTCAAAGGAATAATGATAACCGGTTGCGATGGAAGAGGTGTTTATGTTGCTAGGCTCATGGTTGGTTAGGGATGACAATAGGATAAGTAGGGGTGTTCGTTAACGGCTGCATGACTGCATTTTTGGGTGCTCTGTTGACCCGTGTCTTGTCCCATTAAATCAGGCTACTTGTAAATAGGGGTGTGCAAAATCTTCTTATCCAGTGATTCGATTTGAAAATTTGAATATCCGGGTTTTTTTTTTTCGGATAATCGGATCAGATACTCATCGGATATCTAGATAATTGATCCAAAATTTTGGATATTTAATTTTTTTTGGATGAGATACAAATCTCTATTTCAGGTATTTGTAAATTTTCGATATCCAAATTTTCGGATTGGGTCGGTTATCCGAATTTGCCTACTTATAAGTTGGGTACCCTGTTTTGAGTCACAAGTGTTCGGTTATATTTATTTTGTTTTTTGATTATCTTATTTTTCAAAAGTTCACATGAAAAAAATATAAAATTTAAAAGTTTATAATATATAATCTATCCATAGAATTTAGAAATTTAAATTACATAATGCAAACATAACTTAAAAATCTAGAAAATAGAATTAAAAAAATACAATTAAATTTAGAATGTTATGAGATTAAAAGAAATAATTTGAAATAGCATGAAAAAAATAAAACTTAAGATTTTAGAATGTTAGGATAATTTTTTTTAAATTTTTTTAAAGAATTTAGAAGGTTAGAAAAAATAATTTAAAAAGTTTAAGAATTTAGAATATTCCGAAGTAATTTGAAATTTGAGGATAAAAAAAATTAATATTAAAAAAATATAGAACTAGGTATCTATTGACTTGACGAATTAGAAATTACAACTCATGGCCCGACTTGTGACTCATAAAAAATAGTGGGTTGAGTATCCAATTTGAAAATTCAAGTATTTTAATATATATATATATATATATATATGATTATTTTTATATGGATCAACGTGTTAACATCTGTATATTAAATTGGATAATTTTGAACATACCTTATGAAAAGAAATGGTAGTTTTTACTTTGATTTATTTAATATAACTGTAGTAGATAAATGTTCACATTATGAGCCTATAAAATGACACGATCAAGATTAAGATGATTGTAAGATTGCTCAAAAACTTGGTAATGTAAGGTATATTCTAGATTTGTGAATGAATTTGATTTCGATAGGTAATATGAATTTAAAAGGATACAAATACTCCAGCGAAGATAAAGCTATGAATGTGATAAAAGAGTAGAGAAATGATGTTAAGTTTTATGTTTTATAACGTTGAAAAATTTTAGATAACGCAATTGATGTTTCCTCTTCTGTGTCAAATAATATTGTTACTAGTAAAATGTATGGTCTAAATCAAACAAAAAAAAAAAAAGATTTCTCCATGAATAAGGCAATCGTGGGCACAACAATTCTTAGAAGTAAAAAATAATTACATTTCTTATGCATAATGAATCTAGAAAGAAGAAAAGAGTCAAATTCGTCAAAAAGATAGAATTATCATTTATGGTCGAGATTGTGTTGTGCATGATATTACTCGTAATTATACAATATGAGTAAAGTTTACACTTATGATGACTTTATCGATGTGAGAGCCAAGTTACTTTGTACATTTAAACTTCAGCAACGCTTGGGTTTGATTAACAATCAGTATTGATTAATACACTTTAAGGGGTTTCATCAAGATGCCAATGTTATCGTCGAGATGGAGAATTATCATTTTTTTTGTTAAAGTTTGTATGTTTCATCAAATTTGAGATTTTATCTTGAACTCTTTGTACTTTCAAAATTTGTGTAAAGATGAAGATTGCTAGAGTTTGACTCGAATTCAATATAATTAAAATTAAAAAATATACAAAATTAAGAAAAATAAAAAAATCTAGTATGATTGAAAGTAGAGAATACTTTTTTATGTTAACTAAAATTAAAAAAAAATCTAGTTTGAATATATTTCTATTACATAAGTTTTCTTTATACCCAAGTCATTATCCCTATAAATAGATACTAAAGATTAGGGTTAGAATTTAGAAGTCATGTTATTTATAATGATTTGTCTTGTATTCTTCTATTTTTTGACATAGTAAAAATTGTTCTTCTGTATGTGGTTTTTCTTTAATTTTTTTTTTACATAAAATCTTGTTATCTTAGTGTCTATTTTACTGTATGGTCTACAGTACATTTATCTTCTAACAATACACTTATATAAGTAACCCACAAAATGTTAAATCCTTATTTGAACATTTAGTATAATAAAGGTAAACATCATTTTAATAAACTTATTTATTATTTTACAACATCATATCGAAAAATATATTCTTATCACATTTTTGGTATATAATCATAAATGTTATCATCTATTTTTAGGTCCGTTTTTTAGATTTGGTGACCTACGAAGAACTTAAAAGTTAAACCTCTAATAACAAGTATAAAAAATATTGAATTTTAAGAGGATGTAAAAAATATTTTGTTTATAAATTATAATAACTATCTAATAAATATATCAAAATTTAAATTGAAAACATTGAGAAATTTTATTAAACATCCAATTATTCACAAAATAACTTCTTCGAGTATTTTTTTTAATACAAAATCACTAATAATAGTGTCTGTGTCAATCTAACATGTTTTTCTCAATACATAAAATTGTCAGACCATTTAATTTTTCTTGTGACAATGACGACCTCAAGTAAACTTTCAATGATTTTAACTTCAAAAAACTTCATTTAGCAGATGCAACTGTCACCAACATATTTAAAAGGATTCGATAAGCAACTAAAATATTTGGATAACAATATGCAACTTTGACAAACATGAGAAGTTCAAATACCTACATTAACTCATTTGATAGTCATTTGCAACACTTTTAATTCTGAAAAAAATATCATATTCGTCAATACTAGACAAATTATGTAACACCCCAATTTAGGGGCTAAAATTAAGAAATTATAAAGTGGTGGATTTAATTTGGTATTTTGAAAGAAATTGGGGATTAAATTGTAAAATTTCAAAGTTGACAGATCGTTTTAAGAAGTACAGGAAGTTCAGTGACTAAACTCTTGGTTTACCCATTTTTTATATAGGATGAATTATAAAACCCCCCTGTGCGCAGGTTTTTGCAGAATATTTTCCAGTTTTCCCTTCTCCAACAACCCTCCTTTCAACTCCGATCTACTCGTCGTCCGACCTTCGATCGACGAGCAGAAATCACCATCGTGTTCGTTGTCGAGTGAGGAACAAAACCCCTCAAACCTTTTGTCATGAATCATCGCCGTTCTTCGTTAATTTCAGTCGGAAGTATCGTCGGTAATAACTCAATTTCAATTGGTTTTTCGTCGATTCACGACGATCCGAGCATCCGTTAACGACACCTCCCGCACCATCGTGTTCCTTGCATCGTTCCGAGTCCGCCGGTGTCATCCTTGGTCTCCGACGACGACGGTGCATGAGGAGGTGAAGCGGTCAAAGTTTCTGATTTGTTGAAATCGAG